GGGTAGGAACGTAGATCGACCGGTAAATCGAGAGCTTTGCTTTCTGACTCAGCTCTCTCTTCACCACGACGGACCGGTACAGCGCCCGCTTTACAATTAACACAAATGACAAAAAATTAAAACTGTGGCAGAAACTCATGAATCAAAGTATTTTTGGTTGAATTACTCAAATATTGCTAATAGACCAATTGTCTTTATCCATATTTAACTGTTATTTTTGTCAAATATAGCTAAAAAAACGTTCTTAGCAGTCAGTTTTAAACTTAACTTAATTTCTGGAAATCCTCTAACAACCCAAAATTAGGAGTTTTAGGACCCACAGCGGGTTCTCAACCCCAGCTTGCTGTAGATGAAACCTTAAAGTGACTGTGATGTAAAATGTTTGTACGAAATATGAATGCATTTTTGGAAAGACAACATTATTAACATATTACAAAACTAATTTCACGTTGCTCAGACGGACAGTTGTTGAGATATTTGCATGTGAAATAACAGGAAGTGATGTCAAATGTAAATATTTCAAAATTAAATAAATGTTACCAATTATTTTAATATTTGATACGAATTACAGTCATCCTACAGTGTGTTAACATTTTAAGACTTCTGAAGATTGATTTAAGACCTTTTAAGGCTAATTAAGGCCTTATTTTTGGATTGATGAACTCAAGGCCTTTTAAGACTTTTTAAGGATCCAAAAGAAACCTGGAAACATAAGAAGCACGTTGCAGAACCTGGGCGGGGTTAAAAAAAAAAACCTGGACAACTTTAGCCGATCGAAGCCCTTGAACACATCATGCTGAGTTCAATTTATACTCATTATTTTAGCTTAAATTTAGAATAAATACATGAACTCACTGATTCATCCCTCAGGTCTCTTTATTGTAACTAAACTCAGAAAACTGATTGAACTTATTCACTTAAAAATAATAATGTGATTTGCAAGTAATAAAACCTTTTCTATATATTTTTTTCACAAATTAAACATGTAGTTATTAAACATGATTTTATTTTCAGAAGATATTTAACTTATTTTCAAGGTGAGTTTTTATTATTTTCTTCTGACATATTGCAAATTATTTTAGATTATTTTAGATAACGAAGACCACATTGTGTAAATCAATAACATGTTTCTAGAAATGTGTATTTTTTTAATCAACAAGTTGTAAAAAGTTACTTAAATATATTTAATCATCTTGTTTGAGGCATTCCTTCATGAGGTAATGCGTGGTTTCAACGCTGGGAATAAACCTGAGCGCCCCTCCTGTTCCACTCCCCTTCACTTCCTCTTCCTCGTGTCTTTCTCCTCGGCCTCCTTATCTGCCTCCTCCTCTTCATCCTTGATACTCCCTCGCGCCTCCCGTCCCCCTCCTCTCTCCCGCTGCCCATCACTGGAGCACTAAGCTGCGCCCCAAACATCAACCTCTTTTTATATAAAATGGTGAAAAAAACTGTTTGTTTCCACCGTTTTACTACGTCTTCAAAAGGAGAAACCTCCTGTTGCACTCACAAAACACACACACCGAGACGCACACGGACACACACACACACACATTCATCTGTTAACTATGATGGATGCCTTTTGGCTCAGAGTAGAAAGGAACGGGTTGAGCCGGCACAGACGCCGAGCAGCGGGGTCGCAGTGACATTGCGGCTCAAACCGAACGCTTTAAGGTTTGTCCGAAACATCCTGAGGGGTTTCAGACGCGTTTCCTCAACTATTTCTGCTCAACCTCGTTAGAAACGCCAGTGTTTACGCCCTTTAAACACGACTCGGCACAGTTCCATTTGGAGGGTTCTAACGTTTCTCCCAAGTTGTTACTTCAGGAACAGCCAGGTGATTTGAGAGGCTTAAATCAACAGTTCAGGGGTCTCATTTATAAAGGATTGYGTGGAAACCATACTAAAAGTGAACGTACGGCCAAAAGGCGGAAATGGCGCACGCCAAAAAAAATTCAGATTTATAAAACCGTGCGTACGCACGTTTCTGCGCACCTTTCATTTATAAATCACAGCCGCACGTCAGAGTTTGCGCATGAGGTCCTCCTCAGGTTCTACCCTCTACACGCCCACACTCAACCATAAACAGTCAATGTAAAGTACCTCATGAATGTTAAGATGTATTTAAATCAGTCAGACGATAAGTGATTGGTTCAGACACGCTCCGTCGTGCGTCTGGATGACGACAGGTGCTGACTGACAGCTGCTCACGTGAACAGATTGTCTGTAATTGACACAGATTTTCCCTCATTTTGCTTTAGAGTAATCTAACGATTTTTATAAAAAATAAAAATAAATAAACTCAGCTTCAAATTAATTTTCTCTCAGAGCCTGCAGGACGATAAAAACAATAAAAATTAAATTAAATAAGTCAGATAAAATTAGAAATAAGTCCCCCGCTCTTCTCCTCGTCCTCTCCCCCTCCTGCCTGCTGTTATCCGCAGCAGACACCGCGCGCGCGCTCGCACGCACGCACGCACGCACGCACGCACGCACGCACACACACACACACTCATGCACGCACGCACGCACTTGCGCACGCACGCACGCACGCATCCCCGCGCGCGCATGACAAACACGGATTTTAAACGTTTATAACATCCACACTGGCGAGGTGGATGCGCCCTGCGCGTGTATCTAAAGCTTTTGCTGTCCTGCTGTTCTTATCGGGGAGGCGTCTGTGGGTCAGGGAGGSGTCTGTGGGTCAGGGAGGGGTCTGTGGGTCAGGGAGGGGTCTGTGGGTCAGGGAGGGGTCTGTGGGTCAGGGTCGTCTGAGGAGGAAGCAGATGAAGGGATTTGCACACGGGAACTTTTATTTAAGATTTAATTTTTTTTTATTTCAAAGGTCCTCATGGCTCAGCAGCAGCAGAAGCATAAAAAATACTGTTAATAAAGCTGATGATAAAGTTGAATAAAAATCTAAGTCTGATTCTGAAGGTAAATTAAATCTCTGACAGTGATCTTTACACAGTGTGGCTCTAATTCCTCACTTCACCATCTGTGTCGCAGTTTCACATCTCCAAAATGAGCGTACGCATGGGTCAGAGCTGTGAGGCACCGCACATTTTCACGTCAAGTTTGGATTTTATAAATCACAACCTTGGCGTAAAAAGTGGCGTACGCAAGTTTCTGGGCTCAAATTGTGCGTACGCCAGTTTTATAAATCCGACCCCAGATCTTTTGAAGAGGCATTCTGCTGAGAAAATATGAAAAATTACAATTTAGCTCAAGTTCTTTCACAGGTCTCAGTTTGGAAGAATAGATATTAATTGATAAGTTAGCAGCTAGCGCTTTAAAACATTTAAAATTTTCACAATTTTTTTTTAAACCTGGAATTCTATTTACAAGCACAAATAGCAGCAGTAGCAGCTAGCTGTAGCACCTCCACTACAGTCTGGGAAAGCAATGTTTGTAAAGAGTATTCATATAAATAGCTATGACTAGCCTTTAGCTCATCTATCCGGTCATAATTAAAATTTAAGTTGCTCAAAGAGCTACCTGCAACAGGTAAGATATTAACTGCAGGACTCCACTTCAAATGATTTAAACTAACCCTTTAGGTGTATAGTATTAGAGGTCTTTAGGGTTGGGCAATATTGGCGAAAAAATTAATCACGATTAATTGTGGTATTTAGCCGATAACGATTAATTTGACGATTAATGCCCTGAGTCCCAGGACACCCTTATTTCATAGTAACATGACCAATTTAGTGGGAAAGATTTGCTTTTTGTAAAAAGAATTGTTCCAAATTGTGTGAAAATTACAGATTTCTGACTATACATCATATTTTAAATTGTATAGATAGATAAATAAATTACAGAACTTTATTTTAAGGTTCGTCATATTTGAAGTGGAGAGGAGCACTGAGCGGACTGACCGGAGTAATCCCCAGTCAGTCTGCCTGGTGGCATTAATTGTATTAATTGTCAAGTGCCAAAAAGTAATCGATTAATGTTTTTCTGACGATTAATTGCACACGATACGATTATGCCCAACCCTAGAGGTCTTAGAAGTTAAAATAAAAAGTGGCATTTTTTTTCACTTTTGTCAACAACAGCTACAAACTCTCATTTTTTAACAAACTAAATGCATCAAATTTGCCTCTACATCACAACAAGATAGCAGCTAAAGAGCTTAAATCTGTTTTTTAAATAAATATTTTTAAAATAATCTGCGTTCTTGTAGTTTGAGGAGAGTGATGAATAATTTCCTACCTCTTTATGGTGGAGGCCAGCGGATTAACGGGGTTCCACCCCATGCACTCCAGCTGAGACGCCATCTGATATAAGTTGTCGCTGCTGTGGAGACAAACATGGCTGAATTTTAGCTCGTTACGCATTTCTGTTTTTCTAAATAAAGTGACTATAAATATAAAAAAACAAGAGAAACCAGAGCAAAAACACTTTCTGTGAAACAGGCGAAAGAAAAACAAGCTAAATATTGTTTAACAAGCTGAAAGCTTACATTTACATTTAGAAAATCTGCAGCTAAAAGCTAAAATAAATACAATAAACATTTGCTGAAAACTAAAATGATCAGAACAGTACCTAAAACCTGAAAATAAGGTAACAGTAGCAAAAAAAAAATCTAAAACCTAAAAATAGCTAAACCTCAGCTATGCTAAAAGTGGCAAAATCATTTAAAATACTAAAGTCACCAAAACAGTAACTAAAATAAAAATAAAAATAACTAAACTATTCAAATATTTTCTTAATCATGTGGTTGGAGGGAACTACTTTTTCTTCCGCTTGTGTAATGAATGTGCACAGCGGCACGTGTTCAGTCACTCAGTCTGTAGATGTTGCATGTATGGCAGGTCATTTTAACATAAAATCTGCTTAGTCCGACGGTAATTAAATTCTAGATGAGGGGTTCCCAAACCTTTTCATGCCATGGCCCCCCAAACAGCATTAGCTCTGGCCAGGGACCCACAAACAAAACTACAAAATTTACAAAGTAACAACTTTTAGAATATTTTTTATCACTTTTATTCACTATTCAAAATTTGTTATATTTCTTTAGAATAAGAATTTTAAATTGTGCTAAACAGATGTTGGGTTAGGGTTGGAAATACTTTTAAATTAAATAAATTACTATGTCATGTATTATTTATAAAGTGGTTATTTGAAAAACTAAAAAAATTCACCAGACACATTATATGTGTTATCACAAAGTATCAGCATCGGATCAGTATCGCCAATACCAGACAAATTTTACTTGGTATCAGTATCGGAAAGAAAATTGGTCGCGTCGAACATCACTAGTAGTGAGATGCTGAAAAATGAGTGAAAGAAACCACAAACAGGAAACAACAGCGTGAACGCTGACTCAGCGTTTTTACAGAGACCAAAAAACAGCGATTCTTCATTAGACAAACCAGGATCTGTGATCATAATTCAGATCTGCTCAGGTTTTACACAGCCACTAATGTGTGAGTGTGTGAGTGTGTGTGTTTCCACCTCTAACACACTGAATTTATAGCCTTCAGACCCAGCTTTCACACCACCTGCAGGCTCACAGCGGTCCCGACCGAGGAGAGCCGGTGCCTGGTACCCGGCTCATTACGGAGCTATTATTTCACACTGAAGCAGGGGCGCTCAGCCAGCAGACGCGAAAGGTATTTCCGCTGAAATACTGCTGGAAACGAGGCCGAGCCGAAGATTTAAAGTGATGATTTATGACACTTTCTGAATGAAAATGGGTCCACTTCTCCTCTCTGCTGCTGACCCATCTCTGATCCACTTTACATCCATCATCTGCATGTTTTCTTTTTATTCACCGTTTTCCTGAACAAACAAGATGTTTCCTGTGAAATCCATCAGCTCGACACCATAGATGTAACTATTTATCTCATTTATTTACAGTAAACAAGTTAACAAAACCTATTCATGAAACAAACAAACAAATTAAATATAAATAAACAAAAATTAAAACAATTAGTTCAAAGCTCTGTTGGAGACACTAAATTGTAACAAAATCGGCAAATTTTCTCTTGGAATCACATTAAATTGAGTCGTTTGTGTTGTACATAACTGTAAATAAATAGCTGTTTTTGTTGTTGCAGTTTTAACCTTAAAGTGTCTGAAATTGCTGGGTTGAAGTCATGTGACCCGGATGATGCGCAAAGTTCAGATGGTGGGCAGGAAGTGATTTGCTCCGGTTCAAAACACAGAGAAATGGAACCAGAGCGAGTACGCTAATGACCTAAAAGGGCTTACATTTATGATCTGATCCACACTGTCTAAATAAAAAAGACCTGTCATATAATCTGGAGGATTTACCGGTGTTACACCACATATTGTGACCATCATATGTTGTGACCAGAGAGGGCGCTGTTGCGGTTCTACAACAGAACCTGGCCGAACATGGCCACAAAGAAGAATATGTTACGCCAAAAGTGTAGCCTGTGATCGGAGGCTGAAGACACAAAAAAATAAAAAGAAATAAAATAAAAATAAAACATGTTGACTGATACATGTCAGCATGTCACAATATATGGTGTAACACCGGTGTCGAGGAGATCGACATAAACTATCTGGTGCTGCAGAGCTTGTATTAAACGACAAGCCAGATGAAAGCTTCAGGTTGGGTCAAACATTTAGGATCCAAATTAGAGCGGCTGCAGCAACTGTCCACGACACAGAAAACAGGCGTTTTGATGCTGAATCAACAGAAGGAAACGGGGCTGCGTTCACTTCCTGCCCCCGTTCTTGACATCAATACTACGTCAGCAATATGTTTCAAATTGTTTAAAGTCCCCCCCCCCCCCCCCGTCTCATATCAGTCATAATTTAGTCTCACAGGTTACCAAACTCAATTAAAGTTGTCCCACATTTCTGACAGAAAATAAAGTGAGATATTTTCAGACGCTCTGGACGACTCAGGCTGTGTCCAGAACGGCGGGACGGGTCCTCCGAAGGCCGAAATCGTCGTCCGCTTACGTCACAGCATCGCGACGGAGGCCGACAAATGCGTCCTTCCTTTGGCCAGGATCGAAGGACTGGTCCGATGGATCCTTCCCGGCCCACCGTATCCCATAATGCATTGTGGCCCGACCAGAGATTTTTTTATGCTAGTAATGGCGGACGAAATGAGAGAAAAGAATACGTTTTAAATACAAATGTGGCGGTGTAAAAATAAAAAATTTTAAGCGGTTGTGTTGTTAATACGTTTGTCATTTATATAGACGTGTTTTTAAATGTTATTTTCATCAGAAACTAAATAAATAAAAAATAAATAAATAAACATGCACCTACAGCGGGTCCATTAGTTCTTCAAATATTACCTTTAAGTTAATTTTAATGTTTTGTGATATTAATAACGCTAATGTATTTATATTTCTCAGAGGACACGCCCCACCTCGACACAGCCTCAGATTAAATTTGTTGCGCAACGTTTTTGTTGCGACACTATTTCACTTGAGGTTTTTTATATTTTATGTTATGTTTTTATAAATTGGTATTTTATTAAACAGTGTGGGCTTTTATCTAATTATGATTTTTAAATCACACTGATGAAGCATGAGTTGTCTATGAACACGATTTAAATCTTACTTATCCTCAGCGTCCTTTTAGACATGGTCCTGTCAGTATAAAGCCACTCACAGGCGTCAAAATATAACTTTAACGCTCTCGAGACAAAACGGACGCACCATCGATGACTCTACGATTCAGAGAAAATCTGTTGCAGAATTCAGAGTGAAGCGAAGATCCTGAGAGCCCTGAAACACGGCCTTGAAGGTTGCAGCTGTGTTAGATATGGATTATATCTTCAGCATCAGAGTCCAAGCCTTTCCTTTACACCATCTTTGCTGCATTGGAGGCGACCATCCTTCAAAATAAAAGCATTCACATTATCCACAACCGAAACTACAAAACCTGCAGGCCGATCCCGATCATAACCTGAGGAACAGGTTGATGTTTAATAATTAACAGAACACCGTGCACCGGTTCAGGAATCTCAAATTGTTTCTTTTGCTTTGATAAAAGCCAGAGTGCCTTCCTTTTTTCTGCCTCCGAGCGGATTATTAAAACCTCGGCATGTTTTTACTTCATGTTGTTCCAAGTTGATGGCTCACAGACTAAATACAGGCCTGATGGTACCAGGCTGCGAGATTAGACCACTGACTTCACTCAGATGAGCCTTTCCAGCAACGCGTGTGTGCGTGTGTGTAGATATCAGTTATGTTTATGACAAAGTCAGCCTGAGATTCATAAAAACACAGCGTCCATCCCCGCTGCAGGACTCCAAGAAGATCCCTCCTCTCCTTCCATCGATGGGAAACAGAATAAAGAATGTTTCATTTAGAAACACAACAGTTTGTAGTGAGGAGGTGCGCCTCCTACAAATGCTCATTAACTTCAGAGGGAGAGTTGTTTTTGATTCCAACGTAAACAGGAAGTTCCGTCAAACCTAACTTTCTCTCTGAACGTGGGCGTGTTGGTTTGAATTGTGGCTTTTGAAAAATGTTGGAGTAAAATAACTTGAAAAATATCCTCATTTATTGTTTCCTTGTAGCAATAATTTTAGCTTCTCTTCATCGGTCTTTCTTCTAATAACGAGGCACTTCACTCTCAGACGGCAGGTTTATTGTGGTTCAGAAAGGGAGGCAGAGCTTTTCTACTTTTCTGATAAATCCTATAGGGTTGGGTTTTCCCAGCTCTCCTTTAGTTCTGACGCCAATTTCTGATCTTGAGCTTTGTTATCATTCAATTAAAATCTTAAAAATATATAAACATTAGGGGTGCAACAATACATTTACCCATATCGAACCGTTCAATACAGATTTTTAACATTTATTTTATCAACTTGTCTTCTGAAGATGCTCTGTGTTGAAGGATCAGTGGATCTGTGTTCGACTACTCCACCTAGGCTGCACTGTGGAGCACAGATCCACTGAGAAACTTGCTGTTTCCGCAACTTTTAATTTAAAAACTGTACATTTGAGGTTAAACAAATGTTCATAATTAATATAAATAAATTACAAGTTAAAAGGGGCATGGAAATTTGTCTTTTTTGTATAGAAAAAATATCGAACCGTGAGACTAAAGTATTGAACCGAACCGAATCGTGAATTTTGCGTATCGTTGCAGCCCTAATAAACATAAATGTTCCACTTAGAAAACCTCAGGAATAAAAGTGTTTTTCTCATAACGTACAGTTTGAGCTTCAAGTTTAGTTTTATGGATGATTTTATGATCAGTTTGACCAATTATTTACTCAAATTTGTCATTAGGAACAGTTCAAAAAGCTGAAAATTGACATCAAATTTTCTCAAATTCATAAAGTTTTCTTTCTCTCCACTTCTCAAAATGTTTTTTTTTTTCCCTTTTGGAAGAAAGTGAGAAATCTGTTTTAATGATTTTGTAAATTTAGCACAAAAAGTAATAAAATGTGTGTTTGGTAGATTCTTTTTTCTTATAACTCACAGTTTAAGCTCCAAGTAGCTGCTTCAGTTTTAGTTTGATCAATTTATTCCCTTAATTTTGTCATAAGGAACTCAAAAACAAAGCTGAAAATTGACGTCAGTTATTCTTAATTTCATAGTTTTCTTTCGCTCCTTTTCTCAAAATGCAATTTTTGTGTTTTTTTTCTTTTGTAAGAAAGTGAGAAATCTGTTTTAATAAATTCGTTTCCGATTCAGCTGACACGTGTTTCTACAAACTTGTGTTTTTTTTTTATAAATTTAGCACAAAAAGTAATAAAATGTGTGTTTGGTAGATTGTTTATTTATTTATGAGCTTTATCTATCTGCTTCAGTTTTATTTTCTCAATTTTGTCATAAAGAACTCAAAAACAAAGCTGAAAATTGACGTCAAATATTCTTAAATTCATATTTTTTCCCTCTATTTCTCAAAAATGCTATTTTTTTTCTTGTTGCATAAAAAACTGTACTTGAAAGCTTTTTATTGCTAAATGTTGTAAGTTTTTAGAGTTTAGGGGACAAAGCAGCCACGTTTTCAATTCTTTCTGTTGATGAAGGCAAAAATAAAAGTATTTTGGTTTTTAATCCAACTTTCTGTTTTCAGATGCTCTGTAAAAATCACAATTGAGCACCAGTTTGATGAAAGACAAGCTGTTGTTTCTCTGCAGATTGTTTCCTGTTTAATGGAAAATAAATATTTATCTGCTGGTGATTTACTACTTCAGGAAGCAGCTTGTTGTTAAGCTGATTTCTTCTTTTATTTCCTCAAAGAGTTTCATTATAAAAACACTGAAGGTCGTCTTCAGTGGAAAACTGTTCTGGTAGTCGTTGATTTTAGAACCAGAACATCTTGTACCTGAGAGGGTTGGAAAGTTTGGAATAAAAAGATGTTTTCTTTTTGAGGAACTTTAAAAGATTTGTTGATTTCTCATCTGTTCTTCAGTGTTTCGCAACAGCTTGGATCGTAAATAAAATGAGGGGGAAAAAAAAATCAGTAAATCACTTCAGAACGTTCCGCCGGCGGTTCTTTATCGTACCGTTTAGTTTGATCAGAAATGTAAAAAGTTTGTAATATTTGAATAAAATCATCAGAGGAAGTAGCAGAGGTTTTGTGGGGGGTGTGACGGTGGCGGTCGGACCTGTCCTGAAGGTGAACATCCTGTTCAGAAACGCATCCTGCAACCTTTCGCTGAGTTACTGCCGTTTGACCCGACACAGCCAACAATGGGTTCTGATCCGTTCCAGCGTGGTCGCACTCAGAAATAGAAGTGAGAGCGGGAGGTTTACCTGTTGTACGGGTTCCTCAGCAGCAGAGCCTGGCTGCTGGGACATCCGTCTGAAGGCGCGTGGCAGCCGTAGACCGGAGGGGGGACGGGGTACTGCTGCTCGCCTGCGTAAGGAAAGTCACAACGTCACAGAAAAATCTGCAAAAATAAAGACTGGAAACAAGAATTTATTTAGTTTCCTGATGCAACTTAATTACTTCTGCATGCTCAGAGCTACTTTAGCCGCTTGTGTATCAAAACGTTTGTCTCATTGAGGAGACGAGTGCGCTAACGTGTTTTTTTTTAAGTTTTATACTTTTTACTTCATCAAACAAATACATGAAGATCTCACTCTTTACAAAAGCATTCTGTTTGTCTTCTTATGCTACTTTTAGCTTTAGCCTTTTGTTTTTGCATTTAGTTATCATTCTGCTACTGTTAACCTTTAGTTAGCCTTTTGTTTTAGCATTTAGTTATCATTATGCTACTGTTAACTATTAGTTAACCTTTTGTTTTAACATTTAGCTATCATTCTGCTACTGTTAACCTTTAGTTAGCCTTTTGTTTTAACATTTAGCTATCATTATGCTACTGTTAACCTTTAGTTAGCCTTTTGTTTTAGCATTTAGCTATCATTCTGCTACTGTTAACCTTTAGTTAGGCTTTTGTTTTAGCATTTAGCTATCATTCTGCTATTGTTAACCTTTAGTTAGCCTTTTGTTTGGTGGTGTATAATGATGTGATTGTGATGCTGTATTTCTGAGTGTTTTATGTGTTGCAGAACAGGAACCTGCTGTAAAACAGCAATTATG